TAGTTAGAGGATGAGAATATAGGTGGTTTTAATGCCTACCACCTATTCGAAATGTCCACAGAATGTTTCGCCGGAAAACTCGACTTCGAACTGGGATTACCGTCTGGCGATTTTTCAACGATATTTTCACAACAAAACCTTCCATTCTCTCGATTACCAGACAAAAAGTAAACGCGGAAGGTTCTTTTCTTTTCTCTTGGAAGTTGATACTCATCCCCACTTTTCCAGCTATTGAAAGGCATCTGGTATTTTTTATGGGTGAATTATTTATCAATGTCAATCTTTTATTTAGAAGCCAAAAAATTTGAGATCATTAAAAAAAAAAATCTTTATGTAAATCAATTTTTTTCTTCTGCAAATTTTCGAACGGGAGGCCGGCATTAAAATCACCCATATTCTCATCAGCTTAGTAGCCACATTCAGCCCTCAAAATGCCAGACAAAAAAAAATGACTCCACTAAACAGCCCCTATCTCACAGTCTATTATAAAGTCTACCACCAAATAAATAAACTCAGGCACAAGAATGTTCAAAAAATGTGAAGAAAACAAAAAAAATCTCCAGCGCAACCCTGTTCCATTTTATCTGCACTGCAATACTCCATCTGTTCTTACTGTATCTGCACTATTCTATCTGATCTACTCTTTCTGCACCACTTTATCTGATAGGAATAGTGGAATAGTTCTGTTTGGAATAGCTCCAGTTCCTTGGCAGTGTTCTGTTATACTGTATCTGCAATGAAATTATCGCACAACGGCGAGCTTCGTTCTAGATACCTATCATATATGGCGCCGTATACAAAATGGTTGTGGCGGGCTCATCCCCTGGCTCTCTGCCACTCGACACCAGCCGGACGGAGCACTCCGAACAGTCACCACGGAACACGGCTGTCAAGGAATGCCTAAGAGGAGAAACGGAACTTAGCCACAGAACGTCAATGGTCAAGCGTCAAGAAATGACCAGTTCGCGCTCTTTCGGAATGAACGAACCAACAACAAAATAAAATACACAATTAAAACATTGTCATTCTATTTATTTTTGGACATTTTTACTGTGAAGAACAATTAAAAATAAAGTGCTTTCCTCAAATTGTTTTTGTGCAAAGTGTGTGACACTGAAATCCACATGGTTTGCAATGAAAATGTGACGGTAAACTTGGTATCGGTTATAAGAGATGGCGCCGTATGCGGGCTTAGTGAGTTTTTTTCATAAATAAGTAAAATGGATATATTTTTTTTTTTGTTTTTTTTTTGGATTTTTTCGATTTATTATCGCAGGATGGACAAAGACAAATCCAATAAAGTAAAAATCATAAAAATCAGTCCAGCCGTTCTCGAGTTATAAGTGCTCAACACCAACACAACTGTGTTTTATATATATAGATTAATATTTTTATTTAACCTATTTTTTCATTTTTACCTTTACCAGTTTACCAGTAACATTTATATAATTTAATAATAGAGTTGTCAATATATTAGTCAGAAAGTTGAGAGTCTGTCTTAATTTCTCCTAAAAAATAATTTCGTCTTTCGAACCAGGATACATTTAAAGATATTCTAGGTAAGCAACAACAGTGCTAGTAAGCCTATGAGAAAAATTGAGCCATTATTGACGTATGTAGAAATTCTCCTATCTTTTTTGATCTTGGTAATGGCACAGTGTCGAAAGGTTTTCGAAGTGCTTAGACCCCCTTTATATGAAGTGCATACTTTAGATGGAACAGGTAAATTTAGCTTTTTCAAGATAAGCCAAATAAATGTCCTAAACATTTATGCCAAATTTCTCCAGTTACTGTCAAATTTATCGTGACGCTTTCTTTTTCTGCTAACTTGAATTTTGTTGTATAACTGCTTTCTCTTTCTCAAAAATAATCTTGTGTCCTTCTACTCCTTTTTCATTTATCTTCTTCACAGACAATAAATTATGAGTTAAGTTAGACACCATTAAGGCTATCAAATTTAGGTTCGTATTATCATTGGTGTTTCTATTGGCCACTCTTATTTTAACTTCATTTTGTAAATTTTCTACATCTGTCATGCATTTCAAAATTTTCTCTGTAACTAAGTGGTCAGTACCACCACTGTCAAAAATAAAATTCATTTCAAAATAACTTATATTTGGCATAGCTAGGTTTGCTTCCAAAACTTCTGTTATAAATGAAATATCTTCATTGTTTTGCTGCAAGCTTTCACTGATGCTTTCTAATTCTGCTGCTTCCAAAACATATGCTTGCCTATTTGGGCCTCTTCTGTAACCTCTACCTCTTCTATATCCTCTGGCTTGACCCCTTCGTATTTCCATTATGAAGTTGTATTTTCGCCATTTCAGAATCAGCAAAATAATAATTCATAATTCAAGTAATTTGAAAAGTAAAGTCTGTTTTTTTTTGATAATTCGCCAAGTCAAAAATTTAGTAACTATGTTGGCAACACAAGCCTTTCCTACATAAAAAAAATGAAAGCATTGACAATTTTACATTGTATTGCCAACATAATGTCATTTTGAATAAAGAATGAAGGCTTTCACGGCCGGTCGGTCAAATCTAGTAAAAAAGTTTTTTCCGGGCTATAATGCCGTGGTCCATTAGTCATTAGTATTTCTACCTGATGACTGGTCATCGGAGAAACACGGAAAAGAAAACTTCGTCCTCTACCACACCGCCTCTGAAGATGTCTACCGTAGCAGTAGACGAAACGTTAGGTAGAAATACTAATGGACCACGGCATTATAGCCCGGAAAAAACTTTTTCACTAGATAATGTCATTTTGGCTTTAATCTTAAAAAAAACAGACTTTATAGAATTTTTAATACCTATTTAGAAGTACAAGTCATTCTAGTGACTAAACGTATGTCGCTTCTTGAGCACACAAATAAAATTCGGTTAGGAATTTCTTATTTGTACATGTAATTGACGTATTAACAATCGACGTTCGTTTTTGTTGATAATTTCTTGTTTCATCTGATTCGTGATTGATAAATGAGGATGAAATTATTCTAAATGGGTATTAAAAATTCTATATCTACATTATCTACTAAATTTAATTAATTCAAGATAATAAGCCAGTATTGCCATCTATCCATAAATAAGATGAGCATAAAAATTCAAATATCTGTTATTAGGAAAAGGTACCGCTATCTAGAGCTTGTCGATTTTAATCTGATACTCCAAAGGAATGCGAGCTGGTGGCCAGTGGCGTAGCCATTAGGCATTCCAACGACCTGTCAAAACTATTCCAAAATGGCCACCGTGGCGGAAGTTCCTCATTCCGTATATGACAGTACAGAGTACAGAATTTAAAGCTTTTTAACGTGCATTCTTTGGTTGTTTTGTGACTAAACCCTATTTATTTTTTTATTTTATTGAGTTCATAAGGCTTTTTTCTAATCAAAAATGCCACAAAAGTGTCTTGTAGTTGATTTTAGAAGGCGTTTCAACAAGGACGATGTCAGGTTGTTTTCAATGCCCAACCTTTCAAATTTTTCCAATTAAAACGTAAAAATTATTCAATATCACTGTTCCTGCTTCTAAAATAAAGCCATACTCGGAATACTTGTATCAATCTAAGCTTTTGTAGGCCTTGATTTGCTCATTGCTGTAAAAACTAGGTCAAAATCATGTAAACAAATGTCAACTAGACATTTTTTCAAACTTATCGTTCGCCCACATCCCGATTTTCCATGTCTATCAACTTAGCGAGACAACTTCGAAAAATCGATTTTCCATTATGCCAAGAATTTGCCGCTTTTTTGCCGGTAATTAAATGTGGAATTAAAAAATTTGCCGCTCTTTTGGTTTTTTCTTAATTACGTGTTTTGCTAACTTGACGTCAAGATAGCGAGACAACATCACTAAATATGTCAGCACTAAAAAACTAGGTACGTGAAAATTTGCCGTTTTTTTGCCGCTAATTAGTTGTGAAAATCAAAAATTTGCCGTTTTTTTTTTTCATAAAAAATAAAGTTTGAAAAAAAAATCATTTGTTTCGCTAACTTGACATCAAGTTAGGAAAACAGTATCAATAAAAATGTCGGTAGAAAATTTCATTCATCTGTCAAAACTGGCATTCGAACCATAAACTGGGCTCTGTGTCATTTGCGCGACAATCGTTTGCGTGAGGGAGAAAAGCGCGATACTAAAAGCGCGAGGGACAAAAGCGCGACGGAACAAAAACGCGACTGCATAAAAGCGCGAGAAACAAAGGCGCGAGCGAGAAAAGCGCGAGAAACAAAAGCGCGAGGGACAAAAGCGCGACGGAACAAAAACGCGAAGGACAAAAGCGCGACGGAACAAAAACGCGACTGGAATAAAGCACGATTGGACAACAACGCGAGGTGTCTAACTATCTACGAGGACTGTAAGCAAAAGAGGGACACAACAAATTGTATCAATAATAATCAGAAAAATGCAGCCTTACTCAAACTAACCCATACTAACCCGTTTGCCTAGTGCGATCTAATCTTCGCTGAATAGAATTTTATTTGAAAAACAAGGCGCTGTCAAGGGACCCTACGCTATAAATAAATTGACTGTTTTTTTTGGATAAAATGCTAACTTACGAGTACTAGATCGCAGTGATCGCACTAGGCGGACGGGTTATTTTGGGTTAGTTTGAGCAAGTCTGTATTTGCTTTATTATTATTGGTTCAAATTGATGTCGCAAGACAGACTTACTCAAACTAACCCAAAATAACCCGTCCACCTAGTACGATCTAGTCCTCGTAAGCATTTTATTTAAAAAAACAAAGTTAATTCACTGATTGCTCAGGGTCTCTTGAGAGCGCAGTGCTTTTTAAATAAAATGCTAACTCACGAGGACGAGATTGCCCTAAACGGACGGGTTAGTTTGAGTAAGTCTACATAATTTTGATTAATATTGGAAGAATTTGATGTTTCCCTCTTTTGCTTAGAGGTCGTCGTTGTAAATGTCGCTCTTTTAATTTGTCACTGTTCTAAATCTCGTTCTTTACATATATCGCTCTTTTGATATGTTGCTGTTTTTTTTAGATGTCGTTATTTTGAATATCGCTGTTCCAAATGTCGCTATTTTGATATATCGCTTTAACAATATGTCGCCTTTTTGATGTTGCTATTTTAAATATCGTTCTTTTGAACCGGAGCCACCGAAAATATCTTGTATTTTGGAAAACGATCTTCAGTTCTCGTAGTAAGGCACTTCGCGTTCTTGGCCAATCGCGCTTTATCCAGTTGCGTTTTTGTTCTGTCGCGCTTTTGTCCCCTCGCGCTTTGTCGCTCGCGCTTTTGCTTCTAGCGCTTTTATCCAGTCGCGTTTTTGCGCAGTCGTGCGCTTTTGTCCCTCGCGCTTTTGTTCCTCGCGCTTCTATCCAGTCGCGTTTTGTCCATCGCGCATTTGTCTTGTCGCGTTTTTGTTCCGTCGTGATTTTGTCCCTCGCGCTTTTTGTATCGCGCTTTTCTCCCTCGCGCAAATGACACAGATCCCATGCATAAACTGGCATAATTTAATTGGATAATTGCTTACTAACGGGTGGCATTTAACATTTTTTCTGATTGGTGACATTTTATACTTACGAGGATATACTAAAAATTAAAATTTTTGATTCATGAAATTCTCTCATAAAATACAACTCGAGCAATGGAAATATATCTATAATTTTTGAGAAATTTGCTCTCGTGCATTTTTAACTGGAAAAGGCACTCGTCCCTCGTGCTTTTTTTCAACTAAAAATGCATTCGGGAAAATTTGCCAAAAATTATCGATAATTTCCATTTTATCCCAATTTAATTTTATTTCTAATTTTATTTTATTTTCTGTATAAATGAGCACACGATATTTCGCTTTCTGATTTTTGAAATCTATAAGGCCTCCAATAGAGTTTTCCTAAGCTAAAGAAAAAAAAAACTGAAAAACTATTTTCAAAAAATTTAGAAATAAATATTTGTTCCAACAAATGTTGAGCTTCACTAATTAAAATATACTTACAGGGTGCATAAAAATCAAGGGTGGGAGATCATTTATAACGGAACACCCTTTTACTCACCTAATTTTATACTGCCCTTCGTTTTTTGTGATGATGTCGGTCTAACTTAACGGCAAGCTTGCGAAACAAGTTTTTTTCAAACACGATTTTTTCATGGAGAAAAAGAGCGGCAAATTTTTGGGTTTTCATATTTAATTAGCGGCAAAAAGCGGCAAATTTCCACAGCTTTTCTCTATCACTCCATTTTTCTCTACCGACATTTTTAATGATACTGTTTTGCTCACTTGATGTCAACTTAGCGAAACACATCATATTTTTTTCAAACGCGATATTTTCCATTCACTCAATTTATCACTACCGACATTTTTAGTGATCTCGCTAACTTTACGTTAAATTAGCAAGACATTATTTTATTTTCGAACACGATTTTCTTATGAAAAGACAGGTAGCGGCAAATTTTTAGTTTTCACATCTAATTAGCGGCAGAAAAACGGCAAATTTCCATTCACTCAACTTATCACTACCGACATTTTTAGTGATATTGTCTCGCTAACTTGACGTCAAGTTAGCGAAACACATGATTTTTTTTTGAAACTTGATTTTTTGTAAAAAAAAAGAAGCGACAAATTTTTGGTTTTCACAACTAATTAGCAGCAAAAAAACGGCAAATTTCCATTCATTCAATTTTTCACTACCGACATTTTTAGTGATAATGTCTCGCTAACTTGACGTCAAGTTAGCGAAACAAATGATTTTTTTTTTCAAACTTGATTATTTATGGAAAAAAAAGAACCGGCAAATTTTTGGTTTACACAACTAATTAGCGGCAAAAAAACAGCAAATTTTCATCTACCTAATTTTTTACTGCTGACATATTTAGTGATGTTGTCTCGCTATCTTGACGTCAAGTTAGCAAAACACGTAATTAAGAAAAAACCAAAAGAGCGGCAAATTTTTTAATTCCACATTTAATTAGCGGGAAAAAAGCGGCAAATTCTTGGCATAACGGAAAATCGATTTTCCAAAGTTGTCTCGCTAAGTTGATAGACATCGATTTTCCTACATTAAAGTCTTTGAATATTCACTCTGCATCTCAAGAAGTATATTATAACAAAATAAACTGTAATTAGCTCGAAAATATTCAAAATAATCTCAAAATAAACAAACAAACGTCAAATTTTCCTTTGTCGCCATATTGAAAAATCACGTGGTTTGGAGAGCCTAATTGCGAGGCCCTTTTCATGTAGGGTGGCTAGGGTGGCTAGGGTGGCTATATTTATTGTGACAAAAAGCTGAACATAAAGACAGGGACGGTAGGCCCGCCGAAGGCGAACATTTTTTTAGTGTCAAGCCCCTTTGTTGGTGCATATCAACGATATTCGATAACAATATTTAGTCAAAAATATTAATAGTCCCCAGTACATCGCAGGCGCGGATCCAGACTCAAATTGAGGGGGGGGCCATACAAAATATTGGAAGGTACAGAGTGTCTGGTTATAATTTGACACCCCACCTTTATAGGTAGATGATATAGGTGTAAACACAGAGGTGGAGCAGTTTTAGCGATTGTCAGAAATTTGAAGTTTTGCTTACTTTCAACTTTTTTTAAATAGAATGCCCTATATTTGATTCTATATTCTTGAAAAACACAATTTTCCGATTCCAAAAATATATAGTTTCTCATTTAGTTGAGCCGTCTCCACCATATTTGGCTTCAAAGATTCTAAAAATACTATCAGAGAAACCAAGTGCCTTAAATTTTACTTGAAGCTTTCATCAGAATGGTTCACAAATTCGTCAGTAGAATAGAATTTTTCCAATTTTTAGAGCCAAATATGTTGAAGGCGGCTCAAACAAATATAGACAAACTATATATTAGAAGCAAATATAGGGCATTTCATTTAATAAAGTTGAAAGTACGCAAAATTTCAAATTTCTTACAATAATCTTTTGTTTTTGACGATGGTTTCTGAAAATTTAGTTAAAACTACACAACTTTTGTGTTCACACCTATCATCTACCTGTAAAGGTAAAGGCTGCAGGTGAAATAAAATTCTGTTATATACAGGCCCTAGTAAACCCGGAAAAATTGATCGATTTAATGTTGCGGATTTTTAAAATTATTTCTCTTATCAAGGGGGGGGCCATGGCCCCCTTGGCCCCTCCCTGGATCCGCGCCTGGTACATCGACCCGATTGATATTATACATATTGCATTCATTATTGCATTGATTCAGTGTCGAAGCAGTCAAAAAGTGTAGAAGTGTTCAAATAGTGAGAAGCCAATCCGTCCAGAAGATATTTCCATCACCATGCTTTATAACCACGCATATAAAGTTGGTAGACTACTTAACAGCAACAATTATAAAAAAATTTAAGATATTTGCAAGGAATTAAATTGGCCAGCAGTTTTGAATTGTCAATCGCCACTAAACGAATATCAAAAACTGATGCATTTTTAAAATCTTTTCCATGACAAAAAATTAAGCAAAAGAAAAGTAAACTTTGGATTACTCCCGCTATTAAAGTTTCATCAAAAAACATGCGTTCGTTACAAAATATTCGCAAATTTACTGATTGTCCTCAGTTCATAAGTTATTTCTGCAGATATAGAAAAATTTACAAAAGTGTTTTAAAAGCAGCTAAGGAAAAGTTTTATCAGAATAGAATAAACTCCTCCAAAAATGCCAGCAAAGAAAACTGGAAAATAATTAATCAGTTAACTGGTAAAAACTCAGTTCTTCAAACAGATGTTAAATTAGATCCCAATATTCTCAACAACTTCTACTGTGGTGTTGCTGATACTTTACAACAAAACTTGAAAAGTAATGTGGATCCTGGTTCTTATTTATTGGATGTTAAAATAAATGACACATTTGTACTGGAAACTACAAACGTATTAGAACTTAATGAAATCTTTAGAGGAATAAAAAACAATAAATCCAGTGGGCACGATAATGTTTCAATGAATTTGCTTAAAAACTTACCTGATAATGCATTATACGTCTTGTCTGAATGTATTAATATTTCATTTTTAACAGGATTATTTCCAGACTGCCTGAAAAAAGCTATAGTTTTGCCTCTCTATAAGGGTGGCGAATTGGACAACCCATGTAATTATCGACCAATATCACTTCTCTCGACGTTGTCAAAAATAGTTGAAAAGTTAGTTAAAGAAAGAATGTTAAAATATTTTTCAAAACACAACATAATAAGTGACACTCAATTTGGATTCCAACCATTAAAGGGCATCCATGATGCAATGTTTAATCTTTTGGAACAGGTATTCGTTAGTCTTAATGAAAGTGAGCTTGTCGCCGTTGTGTTTTGTGATTTCTCTAAAGCCTTTGATTGCGTAAATCATAAAATAATGCTTAAAAAACTAGAAATTTATGGCTTCGGAGGAATCTCATACTCATGGTTTGAATCTTATTTCTCGGGAAGAGGACAATTTGTTAAGATTGGTGATACTCAGTCATCAAACTTGGCTATGACCAATGGTGTTCCACAAGGATCTGTGTTGGGACCAATATTGTTTTTACTTTATTTAAATGATATTAATCACCTCCCCATTAGAGCTAAAATAACATCATTCGCTGATCACATTACTCTGTCCTGGAACGGAAAAAATATTGAAGAGTTGAAAAAGATTATTTCTGAAGACCTAAATCTTGTAAAGAGCTGGTGTGACTCTAACTTGCTTTGTTTTAACTCTAAGAAAACCAACATATTGACATTTAAATTTTTATTTGATGATTTATTATTAGACACACACACAATTGAAAATAAAACTAGCTGTAAATTTCTTGGTATTCATGTTGATACTCAACTTAAGTTTAATGAACACGTTACAAATCTAAACAAACGATTGGCAAGTGGTTGCTATGCTGTAAGAATAGCGTCAAATGAACTTGGTTTAAATATAGTCAACCATCCAAGGACCTTTTTTTTCAGTTATACATGTAAACCACATACTTTGTGAGTGGCTTGCTTACATCAAGTCCTACAACTTTTTCCTCTACGACTTTTCTCGGAAATGGCACGTATGCGCGCAGGCGACTCGCAAACATGTCGATCTGACGTAGCTATGTCTCCTGATACATGTAAATCTAATTTTACGAATACTGTTTGATTTTTATGTCTAAATCACGGAAATATTTTTTTTTTTTTTTTTACGGATATGCGCACTCGCAAGGAAATGTCCTATCACGCTCGAGAAGCGGCAAGTGCGCGGAAATGTCGGTGTATGTTGGTCTTGAAACGGTTCAGGTTGTAACCTGCAGGGAAAAACGTCGCAGGGAGTTTATTCCACAGCGATGCTGTTCTCCAGAGATATGAATTCTGATATAATGAGGTTCTTGGTACCTCTAGTTTGACAGTAAATTCATGGTTACCGTCTGTTTGACGGGTTCGCCTGGTAGGTGCTACTCTCGGTGGAATCATACGTGCCAACTCTTCAGAGCATTTTCCGTGATAGTACCTGTAGAAGAGAGATAAATCGCCCACAGATCTGCGATG